AAGAAGAAAAGACTGAAGAGGGCATTTTCAAAAGCATAAGATGTCATCCAGGAAAATTATGCATTTCAAAGGGCTTCAAGTTCTACATTCAGGGCTATAGAGGACATAAAATATTCTCATTTTGCATAAGTCACTTGCAATTTTGCATGCATCATTATAAGAAGTACTAAAAATCATAAGCTTCAAATCCAACTACACTTAAGAACCTAAATGTGGATGTGGAATAATTCCATCACATATTTAGTTTAATACAGGGATCAGTCTTGTCATCAAAACTCTGCACGGATTTCCAGGAATAAGTGAGAAATGGTTGCAGCAGAATGAAAGCCAACAAGAAGACCTGCTGTTCATAATTCTTCTCCAAACAAGGAGGGGACTTGAGACTGCCCACAATTGTTCCAGGCAGTTGTTTCTCCTCCTGCAAGAGAGTGGTCTCCATTGGGTTTAGAGCTCTGAGAGATGAGGAAATAGTCATGTTGCTCAAACCATGATTGGTGCCTTTAAAAGAACATTGAGCTCACATACTTCCTTTTTTAAGGAAGTGAAGGATATTTCTGACTCAGAAGTTAATTTTAAGAGTTTCCGCCATTATAGACTGACTATCTTTTTAAAAAAATATATTATGGAAGAGGATTTACAGACAAAACAGATTGATCTGGAAATGGATTTTAAAATGACAGTCTGAAAAAATGATATTCAAAATTTGCTTCAGTGGATATGCACGTGAAACCAGCTAAAATTTTAATAATAGAAATGGATATACAAATAACAAACCAAGAGTGACTTAGATAAGTTTCCTATATTGGACTTTCAAAAGAGATTTGTTTTGAAGAATTCTGTGGTAAGAGATAAAGAAAAAAGTAAATCAAATTCTAGATTTAGAATATTATCAAAATTGATAATATTGGAGAAATTAAAGCAGTGTTTCAACTTCCAGAATGCTGCAGCTTGATGCTCTCTGAATAATTCTGGGAGTTGAAGTTCATGCATCTTCAAGTTGTCAAGGTTGAGAAACACTAGATTAAAGATTAAGATTGTTAAAAAGAAAAGAAAAAAAATATAAAGTGTGTTTATTTGAGCAAGGTTAAAGTAGATCTGTTGCTATTTTTGTTAACTCTTAATTGATTTTTTTTTTTTTTGCTGAACAGGACTGAACAATAGAGGCTTTAAAGTCAGATGAGGAGACCTGAACGTATTGGTAGCATCACACTGCCAATCAACAAGGACATACATTCAATTTTGCAGCTACTAAGATTGTTAGCTGGGGTAAAGTAGCCAGGGAAATGACTGAAGCCTGGGAAACTGGCCCCTTGTCAATCAACAAAGTGCTGATTCACCACCAGCTTATCAGGTACCAAGGACCTGAGGACTTGGCAGCTAAAAGAAACAGCTAACGACTTAGTAAGTTGGCTATCAACACCCCAATCAACCATTTTTTTAAAAAAGCCACACGCAATCAGGCACCACATAAATACTACACAACGCATAGAATAGAAAGCATACATTCCATTAGAGAAAGTTCCCTCAGGATGGGCTCCACCACGAGTCTAAAAGCTCAGAAAACTAAACCTCTGGTCCTGGTGACTGACCCAGATTGGATCCTGCAACATTATCCTGGGACTTTTAGATTTGCCTTCATTCACTTTAAGAATCTGTTTATATGTAAGAGATGAGATACAGAAAGAAGAGATCATTAGCTGTATTTTAAGAAAGAATGATAAATTGCTAAAATTGTGTATACTTGGGATGAAGGGATAAGTCATTTCTTTATATATATATTTTCTTTCTTTTATATTTTTTCTCAATGGTTCCTTCTTTTTAATGTTTCTTTATATATTTCTCCTTTATGCACTTTCTACTCTTTCTTGCTATTCTTTTATTTTTAGCTTCTAATTAGTTATCTTTTTAATTGTAGTGTTTAATAAAATTACTATTAATATAAAAGAATTATGCAAATAGACTTATCAATTATAACTTTTTTTTCCTTCGATACTTTCCTACAATAGCTGTATCTAATTCTTAGGGACTGCTGGCACAAGTCTCTCTGGTTTTCTTAGCAAGGTTTCTCAGAAGTGGTTTGCCATTACCTTCTTCCTAGGGTTGAGGTAGGGAGAATGGCCAAAGATCACCCAGCTGGATTTGTGGGACAAGAATTCATGGTCTCCAGATTTCTAGCCTCATGCCTTAATCACTGCACCAAACTGGCTCTCATCCATTATAGTAGCAATTAATTAAACTAAGATCTTAACGATACTCAAAGTATGCATGTTATATTAATAAGGAAAATCTCAAACTGAGCATAAATGAACTTTCCCTTGTTGCTTCTCATACTTAAAAACCTGAAAAGAAAACCTTTTAATGCTGAAGCAATTATTCTGGAGGTGAGCATTCAAAAGCCAGAGTTCAGACTAAGGTATGTTATTTTTGAATTAATGACCATACTACACAGTCCTCTGAGTACTTACTCAAGACCTTTTCCAGATGTTGTAATTTTCCTCAAAAGGCTTTTCAGCTAAGGCTGAATTAACCAAATTCCATTATCGCAGCAGGCACTTCACCGGCTATTGTAGGGAATTACTATTCACTACAATAGCACTTAAAAACAATAGATGTATTTCCTGGAAAATTAATTATTAAATAATCATTCTTCCAAGAAATAACTCTGCTGCACCTGTTTTGCTATAAGCACACGACTGTGCTAGAAAGTGGCAAGTAGGAACAGTGTGAGGATGTCACAGGCATTTACCAAGTCCTTCTATTATGGCATTCTTTCTGTCCTTTAAAAAAGCTTTGAACTTGCCTTTGTCCCCATCTCTTGATGTTTTTACAATTCATGTGGGCAGCATACTTATTTTAAATACAAGTGTATTACATAATAAATTGCTGCTATGTACAATAACGTCCTCCTTATCGGGGACATCACTTCTAATGGCTGATGCAAACAAAAAGCCCGAAAACACAGGAAAAATTTTCCCCCACTGCAATGGGGGCAATTTAAAAAGTCACTGAGAATTTTTTGAAGGTTCTGATGGAGAAACAGTATTCTTAAAACAGAAAACCCCTTATCCCGTGTTTCTTTGATTCTAGAATGCTTGGCATCAACCAAGCGCCTGCATTCTTAATTCTCATGAACCCCCAAGTACAAGCAAGCTCTGTCTGATTCAGACTCAGCTCTATTTGGATTGCCAGTTTGGTAGGGATGCCCAAGCAGCAGCATTTCATTAATCAGTTAAAATTTCATGGAGAAATGCTGTGCAACATTTCCTTTAATTAGACAACACTTAATTGCCTCTCAGCCTCAAAACATTCCAGGCAAACCAACCCCTCACAGAAGCTTATCATTAAAATCAATTTGGCAGGAAACAATGGCAACAATGGAACTTGATTTGGCAGGATGTTAGCCTTCAGATTTGTATTAAAATAACACACACACACACAAACCCCCAAAACACTCTTCCCAAGGTGGTGTTCTAAGTGCCTTTACTTAGAATCAAGTTCGGTTGACAATGGGATTCTGTCCTTTACCATTTCCAATTATGAATGTTTACGATTAGGAAGCAGGCTCTTGCATTTTTTTGCTATATTTGCCTAGATTTGTCAGCAGTAGCTGAAGTGTGTTTTAACAGATGGGCCGCGTAGCAAACTGCAGGCTGTAAACCAGGGAGCTGGCTGGAATCCGCACTGAGCGACAATGAACGGAATGCTCGTAAAGTTCACGGACACAGGCAGACTCAGACTTGTACACAATTCCGGAGAAGAGAACACACACATAGTACACACACAGTAGCCAATCTCTCCCCACCCCCCACCCTTTACCAACCCAGGGGAAGTTCAAGACTTGGCATTCGGAACTGCATTCTTGTTACACACATTATGGCCCGTCATTTGGCATACACAAAGGAAAGCAAACAAGAATACTACATCTATATCATTCATCTCTTCAGAGGCATTTACATGCACTCATACAAAGAAGCAAGCAAGCGAATAGCAGAAATACTATCTGACAAGGGCTAGCACTGACATTTGCTGTCAACATTTAAAACATTTGCACATTGGGTGGGGGTGGGGGATTCAGATGCAACTCTCCAAAAGGGAAGAAAGAACAAAATAGCTGTAGAAATAAAGGGCAGTTCCTTTCTTCCTCCCCTCCTGCCTCCTCCCCCCCCCCCCCCCATTCCTGACAGTTGCTATTCTAGGACAGAAGGAAAAGACAGATCAAGGTGGGGTGACATTTTAGCTCAGGCTATTTAGCTTCTGTCAGCTTGTTTTTGCAACTAAATTGTTGCCATGGGAAGGGTTACATTTGTATACACAAGGGCATGCCCGCTTTTAATATATAGGTGGGTTCACTGTGTAATAAAAATGCAGACTTGCATTTAGAACACAAGATTTCCATCGCATCTGTCAGTTTCAGAAGCTTTCTATACATCCGCATTTTTCTTTAGGGAAGATAATTATCCAATTACCGTCAGAAGCCATTCACAGCGCTAGTTAAGCCCCCCTAACCTATTCCCCCTTGGAGTCACCGAATCGACACCTAAATTTTATTGGGATGATGATTATTGCAAAGTGGAAAGAGAAGTCACTTTTTTTGAGGAGGAGAAAGTTTTCCTCTTTTGGATCCGACCCACTTGTAACTAATTGTATTTATTTTCCCCACCGTCTACTATTTCGATACGATGCTACCAGAAAAACGAAACCACGCCGGGTTTTGTTTTTTTGTCTGTCAGATGACAGAATCAAGGGGACAGAAGGTAAACGGGGTTATCTCCCCTCCCCCGGATAGCAATCTTTCCCCATTAGTATTACTACACGGAGCTCACAGATAATATTGCAGATGGAGAGTAAGTTGTAAGAACAGTTAACAACCCCAAATCTGGCGGTGGCATCAGTGCAAACTCCGGTCTCTGAACAATTGAAGCCCGAGCCTTCCAGTCCAACCGAGAGAGACCAATCGCCTAAAGGCGAGAGAAACCCCGGGGCCTGATGCGGGGACTCACCCTCCTCCGGCGCTCGCACGCCCCCTGGTCATTCCTCGGGAAGGGTCCCGCTCTCAAGCCGCCGTCCTCCCGGCTTTGGGCAGCCGCATCTTTCGCCCAAGCCGGCTGGAGGGACAGGGATCCCAACACGCAGAGGCGTCCCTCTCGCCCAGCCCCTGCCAATTCATTGACCTCTTAGCGAGCGCGGCTAGCGGGAAGACCGGGGGACGGGGAAGGGGCGGGGGCGGGGCGGACTCTGCAGAGTGACAGCCGCCGATTTCTGCTCGCCCGGCTGGGAGCATCGGACTGGACAAGGGGCGGGCGGGAGCTAGAAGAGCGGGAGGACAGATGGCCTTTGGGAGGAAGGGGACCCCTAGTGGACAGAGGGCGGAAGCGCAGATGGCATAGGACAGAGGTCATCGGGCCAAGCGTCAGGTAGAAAAAGCATGGGGGGAGCGGTGGGGAGGCTTCGTCCGCTCGCTGCATTTGCTGGGAGGCTGCCGTTTCTCGCCGCGGCTTCCCAGGCTGCAAGGGCAAATATTCCTTTGGCGGAGCCCTGGGGGTGGCATCGCTATTCCACACTAAAGGAGAGTCGTTTCTTTCAGAACTGAACTTTTTGCATTTGCTGAAGTGTTGCTTTGTGCACCCGAGTTTGTTTGTTTTCCCCTTTCTTATATTATTTGAGTGCTTTAAAGTATTGATTGATTAGGAATTTTGTTGCGGTTTTTATTTTGTATCCCTATGGCTTACCTTTGGCTGTGAAGCCACTAAAGTAGCTGGACGCAGAAGGATCTGCTGTAGTTTAAAACAAAATACAAGTTGAACTCCATTTTAAGAAATGGTTTAAAATGCAAATAAAGACTTGAAGGAAACGAGAAGTTCCCATATCTTTCTGAAGAACTATGGTGTAATGGCTCCAGATTGCTTTGCTAAGGTCAAATGACTTCTTCCAGATCCTCATTGGTCTCAGTATCTTAATTATGGTTGGCTTTTAGCTGATTTTTTTAAAAGGGTAAGTTAAGTCAGATCTTGGATAAAACCAGTACAAAATCCCAAGGCTATAAATAAACTAAACTATAAGAGCCAAACACACACACCTTGGGACAGCAATGGCAACCTATTGCCATGTTGCTGCCAAAAATGCTACCTAGATTAAAGTATTTACTTTTTTCCTATTTACTCTGTTCATTAAGCACTTTTTGGTCCTTAAAATTAGCCTCCACCATAGGAGTCTTCATCAAAACTTTTTGCAAGTGCAAGAAAAATGTCACATATCTCAGAAAACCAAAAAGTTTATGAAACAGAACTTACCATTGCAGAATTCGTTTTGCTTTTTATTCAAATGGATTGTCCTTCGATAATGCTTATATCTTCACCCATTATGTAAAACAAGCTACTGATGTACTTTCTGGTTTCTCTCTTGTTCTATTTCTGTGTAATCACTGAAGCTACAGTAATTCTGCAGGTGATATGTCCAGCTACTGTATGTTCTGTTTCTGTGTATCAGTCTGCATTGATTTAAGGAAACTGACATTGAGGAAATACAGTTGCATGCAAAATTGGTCAAATTTATGTTGCAAAGAACCCTTAAGTGAATATAAGCTCACACAACCACATCCATGGCACAAAAGCTTCTTTCACATAGCTTCTTTCTGCACTTTCAGGACAGACAACACTGTGCAATTGTTTACAGATACAAAATTTAAAAAATAGTGAATATGGTAGATTTCAAGAATTCCATGTAACTTCCTAATAGTGTTTTTTGCTGTTGAAATTATTTGGAAGAATACCCATACATGTATTTTCCCTTCTTTGTAAAAAGGAACTATCTTTACTTTCAAATGTTGAGACAACTGTTTAGCGTAGTTGTTGAATGTTGATAGAATAAAAATCACAACCTGAGAACTCAGAAATGTCAGTGTTTTGTCATCTGTGGGATTGTCTTCCTCTGGCTAATTTTAAGCCTAATGAGTCAATCACACCTTGGAGATTAACATTCTATAGTAAAAATAAGTGTAATGAATCGCCTAGAAGGATGTTTGTATGTGTGCACCTGCCAAATTTACTATTTTATTTTGATTCTGCACACATCTACACATAAATACTAATTACACATTTAAATTGTATACCAATCTCATATTTGTAATTTTTACTCTGTAGAAGTTATATAGCTTCTATTCCCTTAAAGATTCATTGAAACCTTTAATCTGACCACCATTTCTGTTTGTAACTTTGTGTACATTTTATAGTTAGTTTGTATAACTGTTTATCACACCCAAAGTGATTCTGGGCAGCATACAATAAAGTGTGTTGATGATGACACAATAAAGTGTATGTTGTCATCATCATCATCATCATTTAAGCCATTGTCTATCCACTGCAGAATGAAGACCCCTTCCACATGTTTCCAACCAATAAGGCCTTGAGCTTTCTTTTGCCAATTGGGTCCGCATTGCTTGCTGACATTGTTGCTCCATCTTGTTTTAGATCTCTTTCATGTACGCTTTTTATCAAACGGGATCCATTCTATGACTGCCTTGGTTCGTCTGCCATCAGTTCTTCTTGCTATGTGACCAGCTAAATCATTTCCATTCTTTTACTCTCTTGATATCATATATTTTTGTTTGTTCTCTAATCCATGTGCAGGTTTTTCTACCTTGCTTTGTAAAGCCGATCATGTAACTTTTCATGGCTCTTTACACCACTTATAGCTTTTGAATTGATTGTGAGGTTAGTGTCCAGGTTTCACTAGTGTATGTTAGAACAGGTAACAACACACATGGATTGAAAACTTCTCTTCAGGCATAAAACGTTTGTGTATTCTTCTAAAAAAAATTGCAGGTTCGTTATGGAAATATCAATAAAATATGGGCATACTACAGGTTGGGTTCTCAGTATGTCCTTTGTGTACATGACAGAGTTACACATGGCTGATAATATTTCTTCTAGTATTCAGAACTCTCAATGAAATGGCATTTGAGAGGACAGGCACTACATGTATAGAAACAAACAAATCTTAAATTTTATGTTAAGATTGGGAAGACGGTTTCCTCTTCTGAAGATGTCATTCACCGATTGTATTGCAAGCACTCAAAGCTGATTAAAAGCTGCAGTAGTAGTTGATATGCTAGGCAATACATATTGTATATGCATAGACTACAGCTGTATACATAGAAAGGGTAGGCTCCATTAAACCAAAGCTGGATTCATTAAGGACATAGCTACTCTTTTCTTACACACTTTTTTGTGCTGAGCTCAGTCTTAAGTTTTCCATTCAGCTGCTGTAAAGAGAATATTTCACAATACAGACCACTTACGAAGATGAATGAGTTCACAACTTTACTACGCTTTACTAATTTAAACTGTTGTAATGAAATAACACAAATAATAATCAAAGCATTGGGATGAATAAGGGGAAGAAAAGATTTAAAGAGCACAGAATGGAAAGTAAAAGGGTTGTATTAATCTCCATTTACCAACATTTTGTCATTGCCAAATCTCTTTACCAAAAGGCAACAATTAAATTCCCTACTGAAATATTTAATTTTTAGTGTTAATATCCTTCTAAAGATACTCAAGGCTGTTGGGAAAACAAGGATTCTTTGAGTAGTTCTTTGGAACAAATTAGAAAAAGCCTTCAGTCAGTTTAAGCTAGCCAGGGACTCGGTTTGAGTACTGCTATGTACAGCATCAAGGCTTTATATAAAGTGCACTTATACTGATTATGATAACCTCTCTGCTTGTTGTGTCTATTAAATTTCCATGGGAGTAAAAGCAAATCACATCAGAGGCTATTGCACACTGCTGTAGGCTTTTACCTCTTGGATCCACTTCTATGTATATTTAATGAGGCATCATTAACTAATAAGCCTCTTAATGAAAGATCAATTATGAGAAAACAGAGATCAAAGAACTGGAAAAGACTCTGAAGATAATCTATTTCAACAATCCATCTATCTATCTTTTTTCCAATATAGCCAAAAGGACTTTGGTCCAAATGCTGTTACTACTAGGACAGCATTTGAAATTTTTGATTGGCTTCCAGGAGCCATCAGAAAGAACGCAAGCATTCTCACAAAGAGTGACCAGTTCTCACGGACACGTAGTCCTCAACTTATGATCACAACCGAGTCTAAAATTTCTGTTGCTAAGTAAGTCATTTGTTAAGTGAGCTTTGTCCCATTTTACGACCTCTCCTGTCACAATTGTTAAGTGAATCCCTGCCGTTCAATTAGTAACACTATGGTTAAGTGACTCTAGATTTCCCCGTTGACTTTGCTTGTTAGAAGATTGCAAAAGGGGATTGCATCACCCATCATAAATATGAGTCAGTTGCCAAGTTTCCGAATTTTGATCATGGGACCATAGGGATGCTGCAGTATTTAGTAAGTGTGAAAAACAGTTGTAAGTCAGGTTTTTTTACAACAGTTGCTGTTGTAACTTTGAACAGTCACTAAACAAATGGTTGTATATTGAGGATCAATATGCTGTCCTTAAAATATAGGCAAGCTCTCTCAATTTGAAACCTTCCGGATGCCCTGAATTCCAAGCCAAGAGAAGAATGGAAGTTTTGAAATCCAGCATATTTAAGAAGGAAAGGCTGCTATACAACTTTAGTCTAAGAATAAAATTATTATTGTTAGCTATGCAAACTGATAGCCAACGAAAGTTATACAATATTTAACAATAAATATAAGAACGAAGATGAAATCAACAGTAAGCTTGCTTGGTTTCAAGTTGTTTCAATTATTTAATTATGCATAAGTGCACCATCATGCCTACCGTCCCTGTCCTATTGTTCCCATTTATTGGTACCTATTTCCTGTATTCTTACTCATGTTTATACTTATATCTATTACCTTGTAAGTGATTGACAAATCAAATAAATAAATAAAATAAATTATTTTAGGGCCAAGCCTTATGCTGCTTCAATTTTATTAATACAATTATATTCTGTTGTATAGTAGTAGCATAAAGTCTAAATGTGTGTTTACTGTGAAGAACATAGTCAATATGAAATAAACATCAAACAAACATCAAACAAAACTCTGATAGTTGATTACAAAATTTGCAGGGTGATTTTTTACAGAAGGCAATACAAAAATGATCAGTGCAATCCTTATGGCTTGCAATTAAATATTTTCATTTTTCTTCATTTGTTTCTTTCATCTTGTAATTCTAAATTCAAAAGATGATTTTCTAGTTTT